TTGGACCTATTCTACAATCATGTTTTTTCTCCCTCCCCCTTAATCAATTATAGAAAACGTGGAAGTGATTGTGTTGGAATAATTTTGTATATAATTTAAGTTACTGCTTACTGGTGAATGAAGCAATGTCATAGCACCTTGTCTTGACTTAAATTTTGTTTTCCGAACTCATAGGATAGTACACTATATGTAACACTTGAACCATGCCCTATGTGTGCTGGAGCAATACTCCAAGCGAGAATCGACACTGTTGTGTGGGGAGCTCCCAATAAGCTTCTTGGAGCTGATGGCAGCTGGATAAGGTACGCAAATTTTGTACTTCTTCATAGGTCATAGCCTGTTCTTTGTCCTAGATATGATATCTGATATTAGTGTTATTCATCTTTAAGCTTTATCAGAGGCTGGCCTTTGTTCTTCAATTGTTCCATCGAAACTACATTTACATATACCACATTTTAAGATGAAATAGTGCCTTATCCGGTCAACATGTAAACAATACTTGCAGACTTTTTCCAGATGGGAGGGGAGGAAATGGCTCGGAACAGTCAGACAAGCCAGCTGCTCCTGTCCACCCATTCCACCCGAAGATGAACATCCGACGAGGTGTGTTGGCATCAGAGTGTGCAGATATAATGAAGCAGTTCTTCCAGCTCAGAAGAAAAAAGAAAGAAAAGCAAGCAGACCCGCCAGCACCGCCCGCACGTCAGCCTGTTTCTCACCATCCATCAAAGTTACTTACCAAGATGCATGACATCTTCCATATAATGTTCTGTTTGTAATGGATAGTTCAAAACCGACAATTTGATCATAAATGTACAAATCTCTGTTGAAGTTTTGTCCGTCCCGTAGATAAAATTGTTCTCTCTTATAGTCTCATGAGCGTACACACGTTCTCACAAAGCCCATTTCTTAATCCCTACCGCAGGGTTGAAACAACACCTTTTCTTATGGGTTTTCTGGTTTCAACCAAGATAATCATAGAACAGTATTCATATGGGTCACTAAAGCCCAATTGTAGTCCAAACTTTTCGTATAACTACAACATTCATAATGTCTAAGAGTTCATATGAATAGTAACTTCACTTAGGTTTTAATAAAATGAGCTAATATGAAGGTCTATATATAGCATTTTCACTATAAAATTTCGCTAATGTCTGAAGAGGATGACTATTGATCTTTGTTTCGGAAGCAAAATGACTATTGGTCTGTTTGGGTGATTCAATGGATTTGGGTTCTGCTCTAGCTTTTCAAATCCCCTTTATCAACAATAAAAAGGACTTATTTATGTACATGCCCCCTATGCTTTTAAAGTTACCTCAGATTACCACTTGTGCTTTGAAACGTTTTAAAATACCCCATACACTTTTAAAAACTGTCTCACGTTACCTGTTCCGTCAGTATTAAGTGACGTTCCGTTATGTGGTGTGGGCCTCACTTCTTTTAAATCGCTTAACAATGGAGAATAAGGGTTATTCATCAGTTTCGGAAAAAGGGAAATTGGGTGAGAAGGGGAAATTGGGAGAAGATGGTAGGGTTTATGAAAATCTGTCCAGCAGCCTTATGAAAATATGTCTAGGATTTTTGGTGCACTATTCTACTCCATTGAGGTGCTGCCCTCCACCTCATCACCTCCATTTGAGCTTCTACACACTAGGGTTTGGCAGATTCGAAACTCTCGAGATTTCATTTTGCCAATGCTCCATCAATGGCGGGTTAAAGGGGGAGACGTGAAGCAACCCGAGCTCCAAGGTTTCATCAAGCGGCTCCGAGGGTATTGTTGCTACGGCCATGCTCTGTAGATTTCAGAGTGGATGAGCGATGAACTGAATAACCTTAGCCCACTTTTTAATCCTAGCCCTCTTCTCCCAATTTCCCCTTTTTTGAAACTGAATAACCCTTACTCTCAATTGTTAAGCGATTTAAAAGAAGTGAAGCCCACACCACGTAACCGAACATCTCTTAATACTGACGGAACGAGTAACATGAAACAGTTTTTAAAAGTGTAAGGGGTATTTTGAGACGTTTCAAAGCACATGTGGTAATCTGATACAATTTTGAAAGCATAGGGGGCATGTACATAAATAAGCCTAAAAAAATGACTTTTCACAAGAAATTATTGTGTAATATTAGAACATGATTATGTGATATAACCAGTCCACATGTCTCCTTTCTTTAAAGGGAGTTTTACTAATACACCCAAAATAGGGGCTGAAATTATAAAAAAACCCATTTATAAACACACCCAAAAAATATACAATTGTTGATTTTTGAGTTTATTTTGGGTGTGTTTCTATGTTTTAAATAGTGTTTGGTATATTTATAATTTCATGTCTAGGATTGGGTGTTTCACTAATTTTGTATTCTTTAAATTGTACGCACATCATGTGACAATGATCATGTCATTAGAATTTATGAGTTAGATTAGTGGTAAATGGCGGTTGGTGCTTAATCACATAAACGTCCCCTGCCTGGTGCAGTTGCATCAATAATTCAATCTTTCATGTTCGTGGCAGCATGAGCATACCGGCCCACCAGACGGTGATTCCAACATCTCACCAGCGGCTTCAAATGCAATTTGACACTACCAGTGAGAGATCATTAATTGAATAATAATCTAATAACTAAATGCCTTGTTATCATTATTTTTACTTGACCGTGTAAATAAAAGAAGGGCATTGAGGAAGCGTTCATGAGAGGAGCCAGGACCTTGCTTTCGAAAAAGGTTGATGTGTACAGCTTACCAGAGCTAAGGTTTGCTGTTAAGATCAACAAAAGGGTAGGTAGACGTTTCTTCTAATTGTTGCATGCATCATTCACCTCACTGTGTATCTTGTACTTTTCTATTTTGTTGCTATTTGTGCCACGAGAATTTTGTGTAGCAATTGAATACTACAAACAAAACAATAATTTCTTTGTCTACTTCTCAGGATTTATTTTCAGGCTAAGGCACTGCCCCCCCTCAAGTTCGGGTTTAAGATTAATAGGATGGGACCATCTAGTGAGGCCGGGGATATCTTCATAATTCACAACCACCTTGCTCGCCAAATGATTAGAAGAGAAGTTCCAATCACATGAAAATTACATCTCTCCCTTCAAGTTTTCACCAAACGTTTCTTTCACCTGCTGCGTTTGTTTAATTCTCAAAACCCAATATATAACCTCCAATTCTTCTTACTATCATCCACCCTTACAAAAATGGCTTCAATTGTCTTGGCTTTCGTTCTGAGTTGTCTTAGCTTTCTACTAGTCCTTACCAATGCACAAACACCTGCAGCTGCACCCTCTACTCTACCAGCTGCAACGCCCCCACCTACCACCACACCAGCTGCCCCGGCTACTTTGCCAACTACAACTCCACCAACTTCTGCTGCATCACCAACTGCAGCAACACCACCACCTGTGGCAGCAGCAACCCCACCCACAACCCCACCTACGTCACCATCCCCTACGGTTGCACCAGCGACCAGACACACAA